ATTTTATTTTATTTTATTTTATTTTATTTTATTTTATTTTATTTTATGTGCATGAGTATTTTGCCTGCATATATATGTGTGTGCCTGTTGCCCATGGAGGTCAGGAGAGGGCATTACCCTAGAACTGGGGTTACAGATGGATGTGAGCAGCCCTGTGGGTGCTGGAAATCAAAGCCAATCCTCTCCAAGAGCAGCCAATGCTTCTAGCCAATTAATCAACAACTTCTTTCAGGTAGTTTGAAAATAAATAAGCACATATAATAACACTGATGTGCATATGCGTTGAGATTATTCAGAAGCTTAAAAAAACTGTGATCACTTTCTCCCTGTGGAACTAAACAGTCTTTCTTTGCTGGGAGTTGGGAGCAGGGGCTGACTGAGAGGCCTTGAGCGCCCTGAGCATGCGCTCTACCATTGAGCTGGCATCCCCAGAACCGAGCCGTCTCTTCAAGTTTTTACTTAGTTAGGGTATACTTTTGCTAGAACCATGTTGAATTGTTAGCTCTTTATATTGCTTCCAATAAAACTAAACACCCTACTGTTTGATGTTGGTCCTTGTTTATGTGAGGCGGCCTTTTGAACCACGGAAAAGGACAGAGATCTAGTCTACCAGAGCCCCTGAGGAACAAGGAACCTCCTCTCTCTTACTCCCAGACATGGGAAAGAGAACCATTTACCAATTTAAGAAGAAGTTCTTGGGGCCTGGAGAGATGGCTCAGTGGTTAAGAAGTAGTTCTTTTAACATTTTTCTCAGTTCACACACACACACACACACACACACACACACACACACACACACTCACACACACATCAGCTAGTGATATGGCTCAGCCTGTAAGGGTGCTTGTTGCCAAGGTTGATGGAACTACCGGGCCTAGGATTTTCTACTTTCATTTTAATTATGATACACATTGGCTTATCTGAGCATTTTCAAATATCCAGCACTTGATCTAGTAACTTGTTTCTTTTAACCTAAATTTTAACTTGCTTCTTTATTTCTTGTTTTGTTTGTAATTTTCCAGTTTTTGATGTTCATATTTAGGGAGTGCTTTTAATAGCCACTGAAGTATTTATATGTATTTAAATGTATAAGTATTTATATGTAAGGCTGGGCAGAGGGCTCAGTGGCTAAGAGTGCTGGCTTCCCAGTCATAAGGACCAGAGTTATGATCCAGGCACTTGCAAAACAAGCCATGAGTTCTGTCCATACCTGAAACCCCAGCTCTGGGTGTGAGCAAGGTGAGATGAAGGCAGGAACTCTGGGGCTTGAGGGCTTGCAGCTAGAGCCAAGAAAACGCAAGCCCCAGGTTTAGGGAAAAGATTGTCTCAAAAAAAATTGGCTAATTTTAAAATAATTAATATATACTTATTCATTTTATCTACATAATAGGATGGTATCCTGTTTAATTATTTCAGTATTTGTGTATGTCCTCAATTATAATAATACAAATGCAAAAAACTTACTTCAGCCATTAACTCCAATGGGGCACGAGTCTCCTTTCTAACAGGGGCCCCATCATCTTCATCATTGGAATCATCCTCTCCATCACCATCTGTCGACTCTGACAGCTTCTCGAGGTCCTCAAGGCAATACTCACTATTTTTCTGCTGCTTTACAAGGACCAAATCCTTGCCTGCTTCACCTTAAACAGAACACACACAGCCAATAAACAATGGAAAGTTGAGATGTTAAATTAAACCAGATACTGTTAGCACCCATGAAATTGATCTATTAATAAAAACAATCAGCACACAAAAATCATTACTCCTTCCATCCTTATGCATACTGGTTCATTTACCTCTAAACAACATTCCAATGGGATGGCTGTCTCATCCATCTATCTATCTATCTATCTATCTATCTATCTATCTATCTATCTATCTATCTATCTATCTGCCTATCTATCTATCTGTCTGTCTGTCTATTTATTATGTATTGGTCCTTCAAGACAAGGTTTCTTTTTTAAAACACTCTAATGTAATTTAATTTTATGGTCTGCATTCATATCTGTGTAAGGGTGCCGGATCCCCTGGAACTGTAGTTACAGACAGTTGTGAGCTACTGGCTGGGTGGGTGCTGGAAATGAACCAGAGGCCTCTGAAGAGCAGCCAGTGCTCCTAAACTGCTAAGTGTCTCTCTCTCTAGCTGGGCACACTTTCTATTCCCATCTACTGATGAAGAAACTGGGGACAAAGAGGTGAAGCAACCCCACATTCAGGTTGATGAGGCAACCCACTTGGTCTGGGAGTCAGTTTGGGTAGAGTTGAAACTTTTAATGGCATTCTATACTATTCTTTCCTAAAATACATTAAAATGTACTATTGGGGCAGCTTGAAATACTGTTTACTTGCTTTCTTCTAACGTGCTCTCTGGGAAGCACTGTGGGGTGAGCCTTTGGCTTTGTGGAGTCTTTCATGCTTTCAGACTGAACTCATTAGGGAGACCCAGCCCCTTCTCAGAGGATTCTGAGGGTCTACAAAGTTTCTTCTTTGATGGTGTCATGGCCATACTCTAAAGGTATAAACACATATACAGAAGAGAAAACAAAGACATTCATGAGAGAGCACCAGAGAAGACAGGCTGGGAAAAAAACAGCAGGAAAAAAAGATAAAAGATAAAAGCGATTCCAAGTCAAACGTGCCAGCCTGAAAAAACGACGCTGGATCTTCAGGACCCATTTACCTGCTTTTGTCTTATCCAGAGTCTCCATGGAGCCACACCCTCAGACCCTCCAGAGGGCACCTGGTCTTTGCACCTCACCATACTGATGTCATCAGAGCAAGGTCATAATAGGCGATTAAGAACATCCTGCGACATCACAAGGATGGTCTCAACTCACAGACACTTGGTGTTGTGAGGCTGTTTCCTAATGTCTGGATCCAAAGTATTCTTCTCTCTTGGGTGCTGTTTATTTCACCGTAGCCCCTCTCACAGCCTTAGAACAACCTTCAAGTTGTTTTATATCACTGTTTGAAAGTTTCATGTTTTAAAAGTGATTGATAAAAGCTGCATGTATTCAGCCAGGTGTGGTGGTGGTGCACACCTTTAATCCTAGCCCGCCTGGAGGCAGAGGCAGGCGGATTTATGAGTTTAAGGCCAGCCTGGTCTACAGAGTGAGTTCCATGACAACCAGGGCTACACAGAAGAACCCTGTCTTGAAACAAAAAAAAAAAAGCGTGCATGCACAGAGTACCATGTAATGCTTTGATGCATGCCTACATTTTGTAATGTTTAAATCAGGTTTAACATATCTCGTCAAATGTGTCACTTCCTTATGGAGAAAACAAACTCCAGCAGTCTAATTTTTTGGAACAGCACATTTTCCTTGTCTACTCATCCTACTGTTTAGCAACACATCAGCCTTCTAACTCTTATCTCTAACTTGGAATGAACTGTGTTTTTGTTTGTTTATTTTTGCTTTGTTTTTGCTCAGTCCTCCTTTCTCCCTTCTCTGCCCAGTCTCTGATTACTTCTTCTCCAGTCCTAACTATGGTCCCATTGATGAGAGACCTTTTGCTGAGAGCTCTTCGGCATTGACTCTCTCTGCCTGCAGGCCTTGTTTCATTTAATACAAAGATCTCCAGTTCCATCTGTGTTGTAAATGACAGGATTTTGGTTATTATTAGCATCCAAACAGTGTTCCTTTTTGTAAGTAAACCATATCTTCTGTATCTATTCTTCTACTGATGAACACTTTTTTTTTAAAGAACTGGCCAACTCTCTCTAAAATGGGAACTTCCCAAGAGAAAGGACAGTGCCTGCTTTGACAACTGTATCCAGTTTTTAAATTGGTACCTGGAACTCTGACTTGTTAAGTTTTCACAGTATTTTAATCCATTTGAGGATTTAACATCCTCCAGTGATCATCTTATATAACAGATATCCACAGATGTCTTTTCTGGCTGTATATTCCATAACCCAGGATATGAGTTTGAAAGTACTGCTTCCTTTGACCTGCCTAGAGCTACAGTGTTGTCAACTCAAGTCCAAAGGTCATGGACAGTGGGCTAAAACAGAAGGCACAATTACTCAGTTGAGGAAGACAAAAGCTCACTATTACCTGTATTTTCTTGTAGGAAGGAAGATGACCACAGGTCAAGATGCTGATTGAAGTGATCTTTACTTTCAATACTCCTGGAAGATGGTCTGGTTTTGCTATTTTTAAAAGAGACTTTATTTTCATTCTTCTTTGAAGAGGCTTCTTTTCTAACCGTTAAAGGAAACAGTGAGATAGCTCATCAGTCACAGCACACTTCAACATTTTATAAAGGTTCATGGAACACACACATGCACACTACCGTTTCAAAGAAAATTACAATACACCTAACAAATAGACTTAAATACTTGGAATGTTGGCTCGTCTTTGGAAAAGCATAATTTTTATTGCTCACGAAAAACTATTCCCGCATGACATTTATTATTGTATAACAATTCGTAGACTCTTCTCAGAGTTCCAACACAGAGCATGTAAGAGAATCACTTACAAAAATGCTTTTGGCTCCTGGTGAGATGGTGAAGTAAAACCATTTAAGGAAATCGGCCTTGAATGGCTTTTGGAGTTTGTAAATAGATGCGTGCACTCATCAAGCGCGAGTTCTGCAGTTAGGTTCCAGCACTAATATTAACCCCACGGTTAACAGCCTCTTTTTACATTTCAAAGTTCATGCCAATAAACAGCCCATGCAGACAAAGCATTCCACATGCAGCACTCCATCCACAGAGAAACACGTCTATGCTTGTGAAAAAAAAAAAAAAAAACAATCCAAATCCCTTTTCAGGGTTGTTGAGAATCAGTGTCAGACAGGTGGTGGCAGGGCAAGCCTTGAATCCTGGTACGTGGGCGGCAGAGGCAGGAGGAGCTCTGAGTTTGAGGTCAGCTGGTCTACTAAGCAAGTTCCAGGACAGCCAAGGCTACACAAAAAAAACCCGGTCTCAAAAAACAAACAAACAAACAAAAAAAAAAAAAAAAAACAAGAACAATAAGAAAAAACATTTCAGTGTGTCTCTTTTGGAAACTTCAAAAAGCAAAAATTCAACATCTAGTTTAGGTGGAAAAATACAGAGATAAAATTATGGTGGCTTTGCCCCTTCAAAGAAGACGGACATCTAAAAAAACCATAGTATCGTTAGCTATCTTGAGTTCTGCTTTCTTCCTCTTTCTTTTGCATGTGTTAATGTGTATGGGCGTGTGTCATGGCATGTGTGTGGAGGTCAGAGGACAATAATTGTAGATGCTGGTTCTCTCTTTCCAACAGATAGGTCCTGGGGATCAAACTTAAGAAATCAGGCTGGGTGGCAAGCTCCTTCTACCTTCTGCTCTCTCTTGCTAGCCCCCAGGTTTTGACTTTACAAATAGGTTGACCAGTTTACTTTATTCCTTAGTAGAGGCAAGAATGGAGCTTTAATTTCTCCAGGATATTTGACTAAGTTATCCCATTCTTAGCTGTTCACCCAGAAAAGTCTAAGCCAACATACCCCAATAAACAAACCTGACATCCATGTTTATTATTATTATTATTGTACTATTCACCATAGCCAGGAAGTTGAACCACTCTAATATTCATCAGTGGATATGTGATGGTTTCCCCCATAGGCTCATATGTTTGAATGTTTGGGTCCCAGTTTGAGAAGAATTAGGAGGTGTGGCTTATTGGAGCAGGTATGGCCTTGTTGGGGAAAGTAAATAACAGGAGGTGGGCTTTGAGGTTTCAAAAGCCTATGCCAGGCCCAGCCTTACTCTCTCTGCTTGCAACTTGTGAATCAGATGTGAGCTCCCAGCTACTGCTCCAGTGTCATTCTGTCCTTCCTGCTGCCATACTCATCATGATGGCCATGGACTCACCCTCTGAAACCGTAAGCAAGCCCCCAATTAAACCTAAATTGCCTTGGTCATGGTGTTTCATCAAAGCAATAGTCAACCTAACTAAGACAGGAGGAATATATAAAGAAAATATACACACAATGAAATGTTACACACCATCGAGCCAGACATTTGGGAGGCAGAGGCAGGCTATTCTTTGAGTTGAAGGCCAGCCTGCTCTATATAGTGAGTTCTAGGACAGCCAGCGCTACACAGGAATACCCTGTCTCAAAGTCTTACCCTCCCTCCAGGAGAGTTATGCATCATTCAAGAAAAATGAAATCGGAACATTTCCAGGAAATGGATGCACTGGAAAGTACTGTGTAAAGAGAGAAAAAGTGAGAGTCAGAAAGACAGACCATGCATTCTCTCAGGTGCAGAAGCCAACTTTAAAATTACATTTATATGTGTGTTTATACATGTGTTTATAGATTATGAAACTAGAAGAGGAAGAAAGCAATCTCAAGAACAGTAGGAAACGGGGTAATAGACTGTGGAAAAGAAGAGTAGAAAGGGAGGCTGACTGGAAGAAAGAAAAGGAACATGTTGCAGGGGGTGAGGGGTGCAGTGGGGGAGGGGAATAACTGAGAACACAGAAAGACACCTGTGTGAAGATGCCATGATGAAACCTCATACTCTGTACACCTAAAAACTCCTTTTAAAAGAGAGATAAAAATGGCAGCAGGGCCAAACCAACACACCCCCTTCTCTGGATGTAAAGAAGGCCCAGAAAGACGATTTAAGTTCTGCATCTGACCCTTTCATCTTCTTCCCCCCCCTTTTTATTATTACCATCTATTACAATATATTCAATTTGTATCTCGGCTGTGCCCCCCCATCTCCTCCCAATACCACCCTCCCTTCCTCTTCTCCTCCTTTGCCCCTCCCTCTAGTGCACTGACAGAGGTAGTCCTCCCCTTCCCTCTGACCCTAGCCTATCAGGTCTCATCAGGAATGGCTGCATTGTCTTCCTCTAGAGGTGAAGCTGCCCCCTTCACCTCCCCTTTCATCATCTAATTGTGTCAGAACATCCACAAGAAGCTTGACATTGAGAGCTCACTGAAGTCCTCAGTGTCCTGGGATGGCAAGACTGTTGTTAGGCTTCCATACAACCCATCCTGAGTGCTGGGATTACAGGCATGCGCCATGTGCCCAGCTGACATTATTGTTTTATACACCACCAAAGAAAGAAAGACATTGTTAAAGCTGGCATCAACTGAAATCAATATGAGACAGTATATCTGCCTAAGACTGTGGGTAAGAGGATGCCAGCAGATCCCGTAACATAGCCCTGAGAAGGGGAGCTAGGCAGCACAGATCTGAGGATCTGAGTAATTTGAAAGCGTCCTGATTAATCAATCCTAAGCACACAGAGGCAGGTGACAAGTTCACTGTGCTGTAGATGTATGAGATGCTATTGCTGCAAGCAGCAACCACAAACACCCATGACCAAAACCTACCTGAGCACTGACCCAGTCACGGTTTGAACAGTAAAGCACAAAGTGCCTTTCCTCTCACGTCCTGCAGAGTCTACAGTGCAGATGCTCAAGGAATCAGAGGCCAGAAATCCAATGTTTTCTCCAACTAAAAACTACTAACTTCAGCAGAGTGTGGCAGCACATGCCTTTAACCTCAGCACTCAGGAGACAGAGACAGGTGGATCTCTATGAGTTAGAGGGTAGCTTGGTCTACACAGTGAGTTCCAAGCCAACCTGAGCTACCCAGTGAGACTCTGTCTCAAAACAAACAAACAAACAAACAAACAAACAACAAAAACAAGCCAGCCCCCCCCCCCGTTGGTAAATGTTCTTGTGCAATGTATACAATTTACCCTTGTTCATTCAAATGCTGATTTCTCTACCCCACTCTCTGGTTTCAATCCCACACTGCAATGTCACCTGTCTCAAATTTGTGTAAACATGCCACCATTTGTTCTCTGTATTTTCAATAAAACAACCAGCCAATGCTGAGCAAGGGAGAGAATAGAGTGGGATATCCTGTTCCAGAGGGGAGGAGAAGGAAGAGAGTGAGAGGATTGGCAGAAAGCAGGAATTGGCAAGAGAGGACTTCGAACCATGAGGAGAGATGAACCAGTCCTAAGATATGACTAAAAGCAAGTATAATGTGGGAAATCTGAATGGGAGGAAACTATGTGGGCTTGGAGGTTTAGGATGGAGTAACTATTGCCCAGCATTGTGCTCTAGGCTAATTAAAGAAATCCTAGTCTTTGTGTGGTGATTTGGTTATTCAGCTGGTTAAGGAATAACCACTGCTTAACTAAAAGATAAATTGATAATAAATATTAATAACCCACAACAAATGGCAACTAATTTAAGTATCCACACCCTTTAAATCATACATTAACATAATTTGGTGGGGGGAAATAAGCTCCCAGTGATAAAACCCAAACTTAAAACCTAAAAATTCCCAGGTCAATTACTGACTCTTTATGAGAGATTCTTAAACAGGCCCAGGAGCAAAAGACAGCCTACTGTGGGCAAACCTGAGACTTAACATAACAAAACTGACTGCCTACAGTCTAACAGGAGGGGTACACAGCATGGCTTCCTTATACTGTGGCTGTCTCAGCTCAGCTCAGCTCAGAGCAACAACAGCAGCCATGGCTGGAAAGATGGGAACTGGAGGCAGACAGACCTCTAGACAGAGCTTGGCCTAAAACTGCATCTAAAATAAAAAATGCCATGGCAGAGGGTGTTTTAATGCCTTTTGGCTTTGTTTAGTTATCATAGTCATGGATCTGGTTGCAATATGTTTAATGGTGATGGCTCCTCTCCATGACTTCTCCAAGAAAGTTCAAGGAGAAAATGAGGGGAAAGCCAAGGAATGGAATATTAAGTTACAGACAATAGAAAAGGCACTCTTCCTAATAAAAATTAGGTTAATAGCGGCTAAAATTCAAAGCTCTCTGGCTGCAAGATACTTTGTCAGCTCCTTCTGGTAAGGGCCTGCCGATTCACTGCAACAACAACTAAATTCGAAAAAATAACCAACTGGGCTTTGCTTGTTACAGTCTAAATTGGCACAAATGACCCAAAACTTAAAGTTTTCTTATCTCTTTGCTTGATTTTCATTTAAAGGCTTTGAGTTACAATGATATGGATTTGAGAAAAAAAATATTTGAACAAGTTGGTGAAGACACATGCCTTTAATCCCAACACAAAGTAAAAAGACAGGCAGATCTCTGAGTTCCAGATCAGCCTAATTTACCTAATAAAAGCCAGGGTGGCAACTCCTGCTATTTAGCCACTTGCAGAGAATAGTCTGATTCAAAATGACAAAATTTTCCTTAAGGTTACTATGTCAGTAAGCTGTTTTGTCCTTACTGACCTAAAGGTTAGATTCACATCAATTTTAGGTTTATTTAAGGAGAGATGATGTCACACTGTTCTAAAAAGGCCAGCCAATCTCAAAAACTGGTACTTCCACAGAAATGGTACAAAAGGGCATTTTGGTTTAAGAAATATGTTCTGTTGGTCAATGTAAGGACTCAAAATTAGGCTGGGAGACAAACATGCAAACTGCATGCCTCCCACATCAAAAAACTTTTAAGTGCTGACTAGATAAAGGTGTCACACTGCTCTGGAAGCAGGCTTATCCTTTCAAATGGCGGGGGGGGGGGAGGGTGGCAGGGAGGATGTGGGTCATGCCTGATGCAGAAAAGATACAGGGGGCTTACAGGTGGCAAAGCACATTCGAGCCTATTTAAGTCCTAGAAACTCAAATATTACAATTCATATGTTTAAAAGGCTGAACAATCCACCCCATGTCATAAAAGGGGCGAGCCAAAAAATAGCCACAACCAATATAAAAAGCCAGGTACAAGATGCCTAGGGTATGTTTAAATGCTAACGGTAAAAGGGAGTTTATATAAAGTTTGGCTATAAAGGCATAACTGTCCATTAGGAATAGAAAAAGGGATAAGACAAAATAGCTACAACATATATAAAAACCTACACCAAAACCTCTAAACAGGTACAAGATGCCTAGGGTATGCCTAAACCCTAAATTAAAAAGGAATTTATATAAAGTTTACTTAAAACATGCCTTTTCTTAGTTTTCAAGGCAACCAGTTTGTCTCTCTAAAGGGAGGCCTTCTCTTGGGAGATAGGTTGGCCTAATACAACAAGGGCCCAAGAGCCCAAAAAAGATATTTTGATCTTGTTTTGATTTCAACATAATAATGATTATATGTTCAATAATAATGGTAACATATTGCTGATCTCTTCACATGTGAACAACTCTGAAACTGACTGAGACATAAAAAAATGTCTCTAGCCAGAACTCTAACAATACATGGCCAAAAAATCATTGGCTATAATATCCTCAAAATTTATTATGCCGTTCTTTTAATTGGCATAGATAAAATTGGTTTACAGTTCAGTTTCATTATGAACATCTCATATATTTATAATTTTAGAACTGTATAATGCTTGTGAGAAATTATATGTTTGCAGAACAGAAGAACTGGACACTGGAGATGCTGGATCAAAACTGACAGAAATCCTCCTTCCAGCATGCTGAGACATTGACATATCTGTTCCAGCATCTTGCATGTTCCAGCATTCTGCTTGTTCCTGCTTCAACTGCTTCAATTGCTCTTTCTCATCAAAGTCTGATCCCAAGAGAGCTTTAAAGAAAGCTACTAATCTCGATTGGTCCAGCATTTTAGAATATCCCAAACAGGACTTCTATTAAGCCTGATTTCTCAACATTCAAAGACTGGACCACAAATGTTAATGATTGCTTAATTAACCATTTTCCCCAATTTCCTTTGGGCTCCCTAACAGGATTTCTGTGTGCCCAAAATGTCAGTTAGAAGAAATTCATGAGAATGTCCAATTTCCTTTAAGGGAGGGTTGGGTAGGTTTTTGGTTGTTTTCTGTGCCTATGAGTATCATTGGGAGATGGTTATAAATTATTAATGGTCTTATTCAGAGAGAAAACACGGTTAGACTCAGGGATTTCTCTCTTTTCTCTTTTCCTTTCTCTTTTCTCTATTTTTCTTTCTTAGATAAGGAGAAAAGGGGTTGAAAAGAAAAAAAGGGGAATACAGGGTTATCTTATAGGAATAATAAGACAAAAGGTAGATTATTGAATCTACTCAACTTAAGGTTTAATTTGTTATTTTCAAATAAGGTTAATTTTAACTCTGGTATAGGATTTTGCATATTGATGCAAAAATAAGTCTATTTTTAATACATTGGTAAATTTTAGTATACTGATACAAATTCAAGGGTACTTCCAATACTTTTAAACTGTTATTACCAACTGTTTAGGGTATTAGCTAGTGCAAGTTAATTGCTAGTTATTCAACTCAAAATCATGTCACAGACTAGTCTAATTCATCACAGGAGTATATATACTAGGTTTAACAGATAGATATGAGTTTGTAGACAGGTTGATTACATAAAGACAGGTAAGTCTTCAAAAACTTCAGAGACCTACAGAATATGGCATTTTAAAATGTCTTTATTATTTTAAAGATTCTTTGACAATGAGACAGGTCATCTCCTGGCAGCACCCCACCTACGTCAAAGATGGTGATGAACATCAAAGAACCTCCATATGGAGATGGCTTCAAATGTGGCAAACGAGCCACCCAGACAAAAAGAAAATGCCCTCATTTCATGACAGACAGAATTCTGCCAAAAATGGGCAAGCTTAAATACAGGACAAGTTGACTGCTGAATTCTGCCAAGACAGGGTAAGCAAGTCCTAAATAGTTCCTGCTTCATATGTATGTCAAATATTCTGAGCCAGAAGGCTAAAGGTAATGCTCCAATTTTATAGAGAGTTATGGGTGACTGTTCAAGCAGCAAACTGTCTCTGTCAATTTTTTATTTTTTGGAAGCTGCTAACATGCACTTCCTATTTACTCAAGTAACTAATTTTATTCCTTCTCAAGTCTCTGGTGGGGTTGAACACCAAATAGTTACAGTTCCACAGTTAAGCCTAAGTTGTTTAGAATTTAAGAAAAAGTTATAAAATAGGTAATACCAATAGGATAAAAGTTAATTTAGGTACAGAACTCTAAACTTGTCAAGATAGAATAGATAATCAAATACTTTCTCCTAAGTTGCCAAATACACATGGACAGGACATTGCACATGTAAATTTTATCTAAGAGTTTTCATAACTTTTATAATAATTATTGTATTGAAAAAAAGGAGCCTTTTATTATACTTAAAGGGGTAAATGTTGGTAAATGTTCTTGTGGAATGTTTACAATTTACCCTTGTTCATTCAAATGCTGACTTCTCTACCCGACTATCTGGTTTTAATCCAGACACTGCACTGTGATGCTTATTCTAAGCATCACCTGTCTCAAGTTTGTGTAAACATGCCACCATTTGTTCTCTGTATTTTCAATAAAACAACCAGCCAATGCTGTGCAAAGGAGAGAATAGGGTGGGACATCCTGGTCTGGAAGGTAGGAGAAGAAAGTGAGTGGGAAGAGTCAGAGAGCAGGGATAGGAGAGGACTTGGAACCATGAGCAGAGATGAACTGGACCTAAGATATGACTAAAAGCAAGTATAATGAGTGAAATTTGAATAGGAGGAAACTATGTGGGCTTGGAGGTTTAGGATTGAATAACTATTGCCTAGCATTGTGCTCTAGGTTAATTAAATAAATCCTAGTCTCTGTGTGGTGATTTGGGTATTCAGCTGGTTTAGGAATAACCGCTGCTTAACTAGAAGATAAATCAATAAGAAATATTAATAACCCGCAACACCCCCCCCCCAAATCCTACTGACTTCCTTTTGGGAAGATAATGATATCCACAATAATAAAGATTCTAACTAGTTAATAAACCATTAAAAGTTTCATTGCTTTCACAACAGTGACAACAGAGGAAAGATTTCAAATTTTACTGTATATACTAACATCCTTTAGATATGGAAGGTATTTAATTAAGTAGTTTTAAAAGTTACAAAGTTCCTCAGGTTAGACAGTCCAGGAGAACATGGTATGCTGGAGGATAGATATCCTAAATTTCAGCATTTTCTTTAGTTTTTAATGTCTATATTTCGGCATATTTAGAAAATGTCCTCCAACGGTTATTAGAATTAATAATATTTTCAGAGAACTTACAATTTAAATTTTGCCTTAAATGATTTACATTAGTCAAGCATGGGCCAAAAACCAAAACCACTTAAATCTTACTTTGCTGAAAATGTATTAGCTGCACCTGGGGAGATCTGTGCACAAAGCTTGCTTGCCAATCTTGGTCTGAGTCCAAAGCAGCATTTGCTTAAAAGTGAAGTAGAAATGAGAAAACAGCTTAGTATTCATTTTAGCATTCATTTATAGCACACACACCCTTATATAACAATCCGACCCCCCCCCCCCCCCCCCCCCCCCACACACACACACAGTTTCCTTAGCCTTGGTCAAAGAATGGTGGATTTGCTTTAGCCACGTCCCCTGGGACAGGTGCAAACACCCAGAACAAGGGAAAGAAGAGTGGTCTTTAACCTAGCACAGGTGCAGGGGTGGGAGGATGGGAGGACGGAGGGTGGGGGGTTGTCTTTAATCGAACCAGACCTCCTGGTCAGCGGGTGAAGCCAACAATGGGATGAAAGTGGATGGGAAGCTCCACTGAGAATCCATTGACTTTGCAGGAGTTAATCCTCCTTTGAGCTACAGTCCCCACAGTTTTCCATTTTGACTTGTCTTCAACCTCATTTACCTTCAACCTTGGATAAGGGGTGGTCACAGCCACACATCTGTGGGGCTTGGGCTCGATGGCTGGATTTACCAGCCTTTGCGCTTGTCCCTGCTAGGAAACCTGACCCCGGTGCTCTTGTAGTCAAATGCTGAGTGCAGAGTCGTGACTTGCCCCTCTGCTTTTCTGACTGGGTCCAGGCTCCTCTATCCCCCGGGCTGCGTTTCCCTGGAATGTGGCTCACCTCTGCTCCAGTCCCACCCCTGCACAGCACCATCTACGAGCTCTGGCTAAGAGAATTACAGCGCCGAGGACTGTCTCCAGCCACACCAACCCCGAGGCACACAATCTCCTCCGACTGTCAGTTTGCCAGGGTCTAGATCACGTTGGAGTTTACAGATTCGAGTTACCAGTGGTGAAAGAGCTATTAAATATGAGCGGCACCATTACATGGATGGACCTCAGGGCTTAATAAAAACAAGAAAGCAGGCTGAGCACTGAACTCCCATCATGCCTCCTTCCCGGCCACGACGCAGCGATAGCCTAACTATGATACAGAACAAACCCTTCTCACTTACATTGCTTTTGACAGGTATTTGTCAGCAATAAGAGAAGCAACCGATACAGCAGGGCTCATGGACACCACAGTCACTTATTTCCTATTAACTTCCATTACTCCTGAACCTTGATTGGATCTCATGCTTTTTGATTGTGCTTTCAACTATGTGATAACAGGATATACAGCAGTATTGTATATGTAGATGGATATACTTTATACAGACTTTTTTTCTGGTGGACTATAATTTGAAAAAATTATAATCATAATTATTTAAAAATGTAAGCCCTCTGATATTGGTCTATTACACATTACTTTCTTTCTGATGCAAAACATACAGGGTGGTAAGATGGCAGAGTCCATAAAGGCACTTTGTGCCAAGCCTGATGGAACTGAGTTCGAGTTCTAGGCCCTACATGACAGAAGGAAAGAATCAACTACTAGAACTGTCACCTGACCTTCACGTATGTGGTCCATGCCACTCCCTACATAAATAGGTCAGTTTCTGAGACAAGGAGTCTCTGTGCAGCCCTGGCTGTCCCTGAACTTGCTCTGTAGAGCAGGCGGGTCTTGAACTCAGAGATCCAACTGCCTCTGCCTCTGAAGTGCTGGGATTAAAGGTGTGAACCACCACTGCCCCTGTACAAGTTTTTTTTAATTTTTTTAAGCTATTACTAAGTATGGCAATTAACATATATGTTGCATAGAGTGGAAATTTTCTCAGCCAATAGTATTCAAAATGAACCAGGACTTCAGGCATGATAGACAATGTGCCTGCAGCTCCCAAAAGCTGCAATCATATATATTATATATATATCTGGATATTGTTTCAGTCCTTTGACCCTGTGAGTCTTGGGAACTGAACTGAGGTGGCCAGGCCTGGCACTGGCACCTTTTACTTTTTTTCATTTGCCTCCCTCCATATGTCTGTGCACCATGTGTGTGAAGCACTAAAAAAGGCCAGAAGAGGGCATTGGATCCCCTGAGTTACAGGTGGTTGTGAGGCACCCTGGGAATGCTGGGTATCAAAAATAGGCACTCAGGAAGAGGTTCTTAACTGCTGAGCCATCTCTCCAGCCCTAGAAATTTGTTTTAAGGTCAATATTCAAACTGCAATTCTTCATTAATAAATAGAATATTTTTCCCCAAAAGGTATAGATAATTGTTATCATGAAGTATTTTAATCAAGTATCCGAACTGGCGCTGTCACTGGAGCTAATACCTCACAGTCAGCAATTCAGTTGATCTACACTGTGTTTCCAAATACCAGTCTCCTCAGCTATTCACGGGGATCTTTTTCCTTTATGTAGAACTAATGTTGCATGTTAAATGAGCAGAGAATACTAACTTTAAAGTAAGTATTCACTTACAGCGATGTTCTAAAGAAGGAAGCAGGATCAAAGGAAAACAGGAAAGAGTAGTGGAAATTAAACAAAAGACAGAGTAGCCAGAACACACTATGTTTAAGCATTAGAGGCAGAGGTGAGTATCACCTATTTTTCACAGTTTAATTTCCATTTAAAATATCCCTCTAGTCAAGTAGCAACTGCAGCCACTCAAGGCTGCCTTTGCAGGCTTAATTAGGTGACAAATGGTTTGCATTATCTACTTCTAATTACTTAAAAGGTAAGGCCAAGACATTTTCTTACCGTGACACTTCTTTATTTGTGTCAATCATCACTTTTTCTGAAAGAGAAGAAAAAAAAATATTAAGTATTTTTTCAACAGTGCTACCCTAACATAAAATTTTAATTGTGAAATAGTTAAGGCTTTTTTTTTTTTTTTTTTTTTTAAGATAGGTAACACCGGATTTCACTGTTAAGTTACATAACCACACCCAACCATTCCAATATTCTTCTTAATGTTCAGAACAAGATTATGGTCAATGAGACCCATAGCCAAACTTTGGGCAGAGTGCAGGGAATCTTATGAAAGAAGGGTGAGATAGAAAGACCTGGAAGGGTCTGGAGCTCCACAAGGAGAACAACAGAACCAAAAAATTCTAGGCCTAGGGGTCTTTTCTGAGACTGATAACTCTAACCAAGGACCATTCATGGAGATAACCTAGAACCCCTAAACAGATGTAGCCCATGGAAGCTTGTATCCAAATGGGCCCCCTAGTAAGGGGAACAGGGGCTATCTCTGATATGAACTCAGTGGCTGGCTCTTTGATCACCTCCCCCCTGAGGTGGGTGCAGCCTTATCAGGCCACAGAGGAAGATTATGAAAGACAGTCCTGGGAGACCTGATAGGCTAGGGTCAGATGGAAGGTGAGGAGGACCTCCCTTATCAGTGGACTGGGGAAGGGGCATGGGAGGAGGGCAGGATTGGGAGGGGTCAAGGGTGGGGGCTACAGCTGGGATACAAAGTGAATAAATTGTAATAAAAATTGTATTAAAAAAGATCATGGTCAAATACATTCTAAGTAATAAATCATTTACCTTTTGAATCATACACTAGCAATCTTCCATTCTGTCTGCTTTTTGGTACCTAAAATAGAAGCAGGAATAAGAATTAGAATTATTATTATTTTGCTTTGAATATTAGAAAAACATATTAAAAGCCTTTATGTAAATATTTCTATAGTGTCATACATACTAAAGCCAATTATTTTTAAACCTTATAAGTTGATGGTAAAGTTGACCTAAAGCATTCTTTTGTTTTTTCTTTTCTCTTTCTTTTTCGGTTTTTGGAGACAGGGCTTCTGTGTAGCCTTGACTGTCCTCCTGGACTTGTTTTGTAGATCAGGCTGGCCTCCAACTCACAGAGATCCAACTGTCTCTGCCTCCCCTATTCCTCGGATTAGAGGTATGGGCCACCACACCCAACTAACCCAAAGCATTTTTAAGACAAAGCAATAAACAAGAACAAAACCTCCAGCAATATGCATTTTATTTACCTACTTTTTCTTGAAACAAGTCATATTTGTGCATTCATGGCTGGCCTTATTATATAACCATGTTTGAGACAGGGTTTCTCTGTGTAGCCTTGGCTGTCCAGGAACTCACATGGTAGACCAGGCTGGCCTGGAAATCACAGAGCCACTTGCCTCTGCCTCCCAACTGTGTGGGATCAAAGGCACACGCCATCCCTGCCCAGTGAGCGTCTTATCTTTTTGCTTTCCCTTCCGAGGTGTTAGGACTGAGGTGGAGAAATGGCTTAGCCATTAAAAGGGTTGTTTTGCCTCACAAGCAAAAACAACCAAAGACAAGAAAGACAGGCTTGTGTAACCATGCCTGGATGGCTTCCTTTCCAACTGTCTCTCTCACACAGACTCAATCTTGAGAGTTCATGCCCATTCCTGGAGGCTGGGATTTGAAAGGAGTGCTCCCTGAATGCATGCTAGGCAAGCACTATAGCAACGGAGCTACACGCCCACCTTGCATTCTTTACCTTTGCAACATCTTTCTTATCTAGGTAGTTTCTGAAAAAACAAAGAAACAAGATATTTACTCTGTACATTTCTGAACACTTGTACAAATGTCAGTAGAAATGAAACAAGCATAGAACTGTCGGCAGGCTGTTAAGCATGGATTGAGAAATGAAGTTATAAAGTCTACAGTGGTGGTTCTCAACCTGTGGGTTGTGACCCCTTTGAGGAGTCAGCTGACCTTTCCAGAGGGTTCCCCGAAGACCATGAGGGGGGGAGAGATATTTACATTACAATTCAAAACAGTAACAAACTTACAGTTACAAAGTAGCAATGAAAATAATTTTGTGATTGGATCATGACATGAGGAACTATATTAAAGGGTTTTAGCACTAGGAAGGTTAAGAACCACCAGCCTGGAGAAATCAACTTTCCTCTCATCTCACACATTGGAGTCATGGAAACTGTGCTGTGGGAATGATTCTGCCTGGGACAGTGGTGTGCTGAGTGGGCCCCTAGTTCTGTCACCTTCCTTGTTCATTCTCTTGTAGTCTAGGTCTCAACTGAAGATACTGCCAAAAGCAGGCCCGAGACACCTTTCCCGCTGAGCTGACTCGGGAAATCGTAACTTCATTTATACTTCTCTCCCTAACCTCAACAAACTAAACACAAGAAATAAATCTCTGCTGCTATCCAGTTTGCTGGTGCCATAAAAGGCACATTTTAGAGTAGATGTGAGTCAGAGAAAAGGAAGGCTTCCACATTTAGGATATGGAATTTTATTAAAGCATTATTTAAATATATACATGTACAAACTAATCTTTCATTTTATCCAATAATACATTTAATTCTAGCATATGGTGACAATTTACTTGTCCCTCTCCGTTGGCTCCACATCCCATGGTAGACTTGTTTGTTTCTAAGACGGGGTCTTACTTTGTAGCTCTGACTGGCAGAGAACTCACTACACAGAGCAAGCTGGTCTTGAACTTACAGAGATCCACCTGCCTCTGCTCTGGAGTTACAGATGTGTGCCATCATGCCTGGGCCTCAAACCAGGCTTTTAAAATGGTTATCATTACATACCTGGGGATTTCGGGAATACAAAACTCAGGACCAAGACTGCGGACAACAAAGCAAAGTGTCATTAGCTGGTGTGGCTTCCTTCGCAGCTGTCTCTCTCACACAGACTCCCATTCTTGAGCAAAGCATGTTTAACCTTTCACCCCGGGCTTTGCCTTCTGGAAACTCTGACCAAGACAAATAAATAGGTTATTAACTCGATTCTCTGTTGTGGAGTTGATTGAGTGCTACAACATACCAGAAAAGCAAGGCCTCTTCTGAGGGAAGCCAGTTGTGAAGACAGAAGTAGGATAAAGGAAAGATTTCCCTCGGATTCTCTAGGCTAGGCTGAGACCACGCAGCGGTGAGCGAAGCAGGCTGCACAGGTTTCTACAGGCCTGTGCACAGCCGCTGGGGAGACCGTTTACTCCTCTCCAGCTTCAGAGCTGCACGGATGGTCCCCTTACTGGGACTGTACTGTAGGGTATACCATTCTCTCCCCCACTTCAGTGATGAAAGGAACATCAGGACAGCCAGAGCTCAGATCCTGATGGAGATCTGGACATTCCTCAGCCCAGCTTCATCATTCCCGAGGAGATGTGCTCTCTCATCCTAACTCTGAATGCCTCAGGTGTCAGCAATACTCAAGAGCCTGGGCTCTGGGTAAGAGCCTAGATTCAAAGCTGGTTCTGCCACTGCTCCGGTGAGCCCGGCAAAGTGATTTCATCTCTTTAAGCTTCAGCTCTTCCACCTGAAAAATGGGGCTTGTCAATGGGGCTGAACTTCTCTGGACAACTGAAAAGGTTCAGTGGGGTAAACTAGATTAGGGGTCTAGCATGGAGCCTGGCACACAGGAGGGATGCTGTTACAGGGGAAAATTCCTCATGCTTTATTTAAAAGAAAAGCTGGGGACATGTCCTTTGGGCTAAGATTGTTTGGGAAGCAAAATACAAGCTGTGATTGACACAAGCACACTGGCTTTGAAGACTTAATTAACTTACAAAGCCACCCCAGCTCTGAAGTACTGGCACACGTTAATAAAGACCACTGGCCCACGAAGAATGCTGTAATGCTCAACACGGAAGGTCCGAGTGCCCCCTAAATACTGGGATGTGGGTTGACTCTATGTCTGTCAACAGCCCCTTTGGCAATGGGAATAATTACGACAGCCTCCAATTCATGAGTAACATTCAACACCTATTTAAAATAAAAATTTGGGCTGGGGTTGTAGTTTAGGAGAAGAGCGTATTGTGTCGCTGGTATGTGTGAGGTGCTGAGTTTCACCCCCAGCCCCAAAACAGAAGAGCAAACCCTCAGTGAGCACCTGCCACGCCTCACCCAAGCCTGTGCTAAGCCCTGGAGACACAAGGATGAAGACTTCCTGCTTTTGAGAAAGAAGCTCAGCATCTCAAGGAAGAAACAGGTTCTCCCTCCGTGCGCAAGGCTTCTGAGGGGCTACCTCGTAACTTTCTGTACTGTCCAAAATGAGATGATAGTGACTACCAGGGCCAGCCAAACTCTTTTGACACGTGGACAAGAGGCGGTGCCCAAGAAGAGTATGCGGCACTGGAGGCAGAAGTGGAAAGGCTGAGGAGAAAACCCACACAACTGAGCTGTTCCTCGACAACCCTCCAGTGCCACTGTCCAGACCCAGCACCTAGGATCTTTGTTTCTTACATTTCTTCTTTAGCTGTTTTTTCTATAAGAATCCATAAACAATGTACTATAACGCCCCTGTCCTCAGATTTCGGGCCAAGGTAGTGGTGCTGTTCCCCAGCAGCCCCACCCTGTGCCAGATAGTTTTATGTCAGCGTCACAGGAGCAAGGGTCAGCTGAGAAGAGGGAACCCCAATTGAGAAAATGCCTCCTTAAGATGGGCTGTGGGCGAGCCTGTAGGGCATTTTCTTAATTAGTGATTGATGGAGAGGACCCAGCCCATCGTGGGTAGTGCCATCTCCAGGCTGTGGTCCTAGGTTCTGTAAGAAAGCGGACTGAGAAAGCCTGGAGGATGAGGAGCAAGCCAGCAAACATCGACCCTCTGCATCAGCTCCTGTCCCCAGGTTCCTGTCCCCAGGCTCCTATCCCCAGGCTCCTGTTCCATATGAGTTCGGGCCCTGACTTCCCTCAGTGATGGACAGCTATGTGGAAGTGTAAGCAAAATAAACCCTTTCCTCCCCAGGTTTCTTTGGTCATGGTGTTTCATCATAGCCATACTAACCCTAACTAGGACACTATGGTAATTCATAAGTTAACAGCGACAGGCCCAGTGGCACATGCTTGTGAACCAAGCTTGGTTTGTCACAAACGTCCCCTGAAGTTTTCCAACCAGGACTGTCATAATGCTGGGGTAATGTGAGTCTAGAATTCCAGGTTGAGAAATGAGGAGTGAGGGAAGAGAGGCTGGAGGAGAGGGTAGGAGAGGGAGAAAGACAGGGAGGGAGAGAAAGAATGGACATAAATACAAGAGGTGCACACAGGCCTCTGAGTTCCTGTTTCCACTCAACCTCTGTCCCTACCATGGGCTGGACATCTAGTTTCTCATTTTTCCTGAAACTAGATGGAGTTGTGTGCTATGGCTCTTCCTGCTGTCAAAGCTGGTGCCACAGATAAAGAGCTTTGATAACAGAATTAGCATAGCCTCTGTGCATGTCAAGTGAGAAGCGCTAAATCCACCTGCCAAGCTGAATCAAGAATTCCGACCACAAGCTTGTAACATTGTAAGATCGGGTCTTTCCCCATATAATGCCCCTGAGTCAAGCTTCACTATGAAGGTGACGTCTAACCAAGTAGAGGCCACAGTCAGGGAGCAATAGTGATTGTCCAGTTCAGTGTTAGAGACTGTGGGCAGAGGAACTTGAAATGTTGGTGGCAACAAAGTGTAAATGCCATTAATTGCCACATGCTCTAACTATTGGGCAATGCAAACCAAATGAAAAAAAAAAAGTGCTGGCCAGCAGCCCACAGACTGTGGCGATTCATTGCCTCCATTCATAAACAGAAGTGTATTGGACTAGTGCATCATTCACACAGAACAAGAGAAGCCCAAGGATAGAAAGAATCTAGTTCAAAACATCCAGGAAGCAGATGGGGGGAAGCATCAATGCACACACCCACTATGGAGGCCTGGCTAGAGAATTCAGATTGACGGAAACCACAGAGAAAGGAAACGTGGTTCTTAGCCCAGCACAGTGGCAAAATACATGCAGGACTGCAGGTTCCAAACCAGCCTGGGCTACATGACCAAGTTCAAGGCTAGTCTGGACACCTTTGCATCTGTTTCGAACAAAAACGGCCGGTGGTAGGTATTTTGCTTAGCATATGCAAGATCCCGTGTTCCGTCTTCAGTATGAGAGAAGGGGAGAGACAGCGAGTGAGAGAAATTGTTTCTTACTTATAAGTGTGTATCCCACATCACTGTAAAGCCATCAGGTCATCGGGGACTGACTGGACTCCACCCCAGTGCCACCAAACATCAAGTAAATGAGCTCCCTTGCGTGGCTGGGTATGGTGGTGTCTGCCAACAATACCAGTGGTCACTGCCAAGGCCAATGTGGGCTCAATACTAACACTGTCTCAAAAAAGAGAGAGAAAAGATAAAGAAAGAAGGGATAAAAGGAAAAAATGGAGGTCTAGAGGTCTTCTATGAAACCAAATACAAGCTCCTCATAGTTTCATTTATGTTTTCAGCCTTTGTCTTCTCACTAGGTGGAGTTCTGTGAGAAAAGAAACTCTGTGTTATTCGCCGGTTTCTAGGGCCTTGTGCCCTCCATACCGCACGAACTGATGCTCAGTAAGCATTTGTTGAATGAGTAGAACCTGAAAGAAACAGAGAGCACAGCATACAAACTAGTAGAGTTGAGCTGTTGAACGCGGCAGCAGCTAGCCATGGGCAGGAGCTGAGGCGTGTGAAACTGTGGCTAACTGAGACCAGCAGTAAACACCTCAGATTCAGGAGACTGAGTACTCAAAATGGAGGTGAGATCTCACATACACGCTCCTCTAGGCACATGTCACTAGCCAGAAGCCAGTGGGGGCCACTCAGGATCCACGTGGACTGCAAAGTCCAAACAGACCTTTATCAAATGAGTTGCTAACTCTCAAGAGTCACATTCCCAAATATTTTTATTTTAGGTTTCTCTAATAATAATGGAAGGCATAACATTCTTTTCTTTGTTGTATTTATGCAACTATCTTGCCCTTTTATTCTATTTGTTTTTATACACAACTTTGTGTTCTGGATGGCAGAGAATGTAGGAATAGAACCCACAGGTATGTGTTCTGTCCTGGCAACTGTGGTGAAAAGGAGGTTAGTGGGGGAACCCAGACACATTTTACTGTACAGCCTCAAACATACATAAAATGATCACCTATCACTTATACACAAACTGTGTATTTCCTCCTTAACAGGCAGCAACTTGCTGGAGGCAGCCTATGTTCAAATCTCAACAGATCTTGTAATTTTTAGTCAGTTCCACAACCTCCTGTAATTCAGCTCTTTTAAGCACAAAATGAGGATAAAAGGCAATCAAGTACCCCATGGCTCCTGTACAGGTAAACATGCATAACAATAGAACTTAGCTGGACACAGAGGCAAACCACCTCTGCTCCCCCTATTGCCATCATTACCCACCGCCTGGCCTGGCAAGGACAATCCTGAGCTCATTCAGAAAAGAAACCAGTTCTACTTGAACCCCGAGGCTGCTTGCACACGGAAGCAGAGGCAGTGAGTACGGCTAAGGTACACAGCTTCACTGCTGGAACTCTGGAGAGGGTGCAGTGGGAACCCTAAGAGAGTGTTGGGGTTTAACTCTAGAAAATCAACAGTTAGAGATAATTTCTGCCGAGGTTGTTTTCTGGAGATTAAAACCAACATACATACATACATATGTATGTATAATATATGTTGTCAATTACATATGTATGTATATGTATATATGTATTATACATATATATAGTTAAGGATTCGGGAGCCATTGACTTTGGATTTTAGGAGAATGAAACAAAGCATTAAAGTATCTCTCTCAGACCTCCTTTTAAAAACCAAGTTTCTTGGGACAAAAACAAACAGCTTCCACAAGTCACCTAGCTTCCGGTGTCGCTGGGCTACGTTTCATTTAAAAACTATTGGGGTGTGGCGCAGGGTAGTTCAAGGAGTCAGAAGTCACAATCTTAATTTTTGGACATTCCGGATTGTGTTTAGTGAAAATCCTTCCGGGCGATCCAGGGGAGCCAAAGCTCATATCGCTATGGCCAAACAGGCTAGAGGCAGAGTGCAAGCCACGGTGTGCTCATCCCTAGTAACCATTACGTTGTTTGCAAATATAAGTAAAAGAACCGCGGGCAACCGGGTGGACTGGGGGAGCCCTGGAATGGAACGCGACTGGGATGTTCGGTTTCATTTTGGCGGCAGGGGGAGATACGCACACGCACGCAGACCTCCCCTCCTCTCAGAAGCGCATCCTACCTTTTCGAGCAGTGCCTCGGCAGCCGTGGGACTCCACAGCCCCAACCTGGAGTAGTAGAGAAGTTTTCAGAGTTAGGCGCCGTCCGAGGTGACGACCGGGTCCCTCGTGGGAGCGCGGGGAAGTCACTCGCAGTCACCGCGGCGCTGCTTACCCGCTGGCGGCCCTGCCAAGGAGATCCCGCGAAGGGAAGACCAGGGGAGCCAGGCCCGCTCGCCACCTGCGTTGGGTTCCGAGCCGCGAGCCTGGGACGCGGCGTCGCCATGGTGACAGGAGGGGCTGCTGCCGGAGCCCCGGGAGCCGCCGGAGCCACCTAGCAACGGGGACGCCACCCGCACCGACGAGGACGCCGCGCGCAGCGACGAGGAGGCCGCGCGCAGCGGCGGGGCGAGCGGGGCGGAGCGCGGCGGGCCCCGGGCCGGACGCAGGGCGCGCGGCGGGCCCGGGGCGTGGACTGGGGTGGCTGCTGGAACCACGCGGAGGGCAGGGCTGGCGGTGCGGGTGGCCCAGCGCCCCGAGGGTCTGGGGCGACCGTGCCCCACCGTCACGCTGTGGGGCAAGTTGGGGGCGCTCACCCTAGGGCACACTTGAGCATGTACCCTAGTTACTTTGAGAAAGGCCCGAGACAGGGGGGCTGGAAGGTCGGTGTCCATACCCGATCCTTACTCTATGTGGCGGAAGGAAAGGGGCGAGATGGCCTCATTGGGGGTTACAACTTGTGGACGCCTTGAGTTGGGAGGGATGGTTGCCTCTGGATATAGATGAACAAAAATCCCCTGCACCTGAGAGCGCCCCGAGAAGATTATGGGTTTCCTGGGGGTCTCGACATCAGTTCTTCTAGAGATCCGGTTCAGGTGTTTAGAACCGCCTTTCCTACCCAGCCCGGGCCAAGTCTGGGCTCCCGTTTGCGCCCGGGCTGCTACTGAAGCACCCCAGCCAGGCTTATGCTTCACTGCTTTGGTCACAATAGAAGGTGGGAGGACTCTGTTAGAAAATTTCAACTGTCTCTAGGGGCTTATCTTCTAGGGGCCGGGGGCGGGGGAATCTCTCTCCGTGGGCACGCAGAACTTGTTGCTGGGCAACGAGCTTTGAAGGGAGACTGTTGGAATCAAATCTGGATTCGAATTTCCAGATATAAGATGGATATATGATCCATCTTATAGTGGCAGGATATAAGAAATATATTCACTACCTTAAGCGCCCTCTGGGGACATGCACTTTACCTCATGTTGAAAATATGTAAGTTTTAATGTATAGAAAATGCTTTAATTATGGCATTAATTAAAAAAAAAATAGAACCAGGCGAAGTCTATTTTCAGAGTATTACAGCGTTTCAGTTATTCTTAAATTCTCTGATCCATCCGTCCAGGTACTACTCTCTAGATGTCACTGAGTCATGGATGGTAGAAAAGCATCAAGGGAAAAAAGCTAGAATTGAGGTTTAAGGAATTCAACGAAATCATTGACAAATAGATGCCTTGTTTGATGAGACCTAGCAAGCCACCGACTTCCGTCATTGCAAGGCTTGAAACAGGTGTCGTGAGGTTTACCCAAGAGCTTTCTCAGTAAAGGCAAAAATAAAGTGTATTTTTTTCTTTCTTTCTTAAGATTTATTTATTTATTTATTTATTTAATGGATAGGAGTTGCTCTATCTGCATGTACACCTGTAAGCCAGAAGAGGGCATCAGATCTCATTACAGATGGTTGTGAGCCACAGTGTGGTTGCCGGGAATTGAACTCAGGACCTCTGGAAGAGCAGACAGCGTTCTTAACTACTGACCCATCTCTCTAGCCACCAAAAGTGTATTTCTTAATCACATTTTAAAACATTAGTTTTGTTACATTTGCTCGGTTGGTATTTATAGTCAGTGGTGGCTTTGCTGCTTATCCTACGTTGTATGGAAGTGTACGACAGTATCAAGCTGAGTGGATTAAGCTGTCTCTTTCTACTCCCTACACCCCAGGTTTATACAGTGCAAGGTTTTCAAGGTGGGTCAATTGTTCCTGCATCTCAGAACAGGGAGAGAGAAACTACTTCCAGACTAACTGGCACCTGACCAGTAACTCCTAGGTAATAGAATCCATTCTGCTGTATTATGCACCCAAATGAAACAGCCGACTTTCAGGGTAACGGTAAGGCTAACCTTCATTCCAGCGGAGTGCCTGGCCAATGCCTGTTCACCCCCACAATGGGTGTCTTACTTCACTTTGGTAAAGAAGCGTTGCATTTCGTCTTCACTTTCATAACGTGAGAAATATTTTACCCACCTCTAGAACCTTTATGTAGAACTTGCTATTGATATAATGCTCAAGTATAACGCAAAGTTTAGCTCTGGCTTGTGCATGTGGACGCTGAAAATGTTTAAAGTATCTGCCTGGAGAGCGGTTGTTTTGGCTTATTTGGTTTTTGTTTTTATTTTTCGGGACAGGGTTTCTCTGCATAGCCTTGGCTGTCTTGGACTTGCTTTGTAGACCAGGATGGCCTCGAACTCACAGTGATCTGGCTGCCTATGCCTCCCTGAGTGCTGAAATGACAGGCGTGTGCCACCACGCTCGGACATCTCCATGATTTCATGGATCATTCTTTTATTATTATTACAGATCTGAATGTTAGCAGAGCAGGTAGGAAAAAAATGTTTCAGTAACATTTAGTGTTTTCTGAGTATAAAACTAATATAAGGATTGAGATGTAGATTAGGACTTGCCTAGCACATTGCAGCCCTGGGCTTAAAGCCGAGCATTGAAAACAGAACAAACAAGATCCTTCCCAAACAGAAAACCTGGGTACCAATACACTCTCATGATGGACAATTTATAATATGCCAAAAACCACAACTATAAAAATTTAAACTACCAGCCGGTGTGCTGGTGCCTGCCTGTCATCCCAGCATTCGGGAAAGCAGAGGCAGGTGTATCTCTGTGAGTTCCAGGCCAGCCTGGTCTACAAAGTAAGTCAGTGACAGCCAAGGCTACACAGAGAAACCCTGTCTTGAAAAGCCATAACAGATAGATAGATAGATAGATAGATAGGCAGATAGATATTAAATAAAATAAATTTTAAACTACCCAAAAGTTTACTTCACAGTAGTAACCCCTGTCATTAATGCTAATTTTTACTTCCAGCCCTCTTTTGTGACATATAGTTACGAGTACTTGAATTTGATGGTCTATGTTGTTATCCTTTTTTGTTTAACATTTTCTCTGGAATGTTTTCCCAATGTCCTTAGTCTACAAAATATTTTAATGACACATATATGATCTATGCTATAACTTATTTATAATTTGTTCAGCAAGTCCCTGATTTGGAAATTTATAACCTTTCTCCTGCTAATTCATTGTTTTTGAAAATCTTTGTTGGCAGCTGTCTGTGAATGAGGCTGTATGCTGGGCATGGGAGTGCTAAAGAGTGACGGTAAAAAATAAGGTTTTCAGGAGTAGGAGGTAGGCAGATCTCTGTGAGTTCGAGGACAGGCAAAGCTACACAGAAAAACCCCGTCTCAAGAAAAAGTGGGGGGGAGACAACAAAGAAATAAGGTTTTGATGACCATCTTTGTAAATAAATCTTTGATGACATCTTTCATTCAGAGACCAAATTCCTAGGTTTATAAAAACATAACTTCAAAAGGCATTCTTTGAGCTTCAAAGGCAGACTTAAACTAGAATTCTGAACTGTAAAATATTAACGTTTTGGAAAAGTACCAACAACAGGCTTAATATTTATTTTGTGCAAAGTGTGAACTAGCAAAAGATGCTTTCTTGCTAGTTGCTGGGAAACACCGAGGGTGTTTGAAGTGTATTGACTTTGGCTTCTAGCTCTAATTCTTTCCAGGATTTGCTGGTTTGCTCAATAGTTGTGAGATTGTTTGAAGTCTATGCAAATTACCCCACTTCCTCTTCTCACAGTTAAAATGCTAAGGATGGTGTTTAATTTCCAGCTTCCTCCTTGTAAACACAGGGCTGTTGTGCGTTTCTTTCATTTATCTTCTCATGTAAAACACTTTGTATCTCTACCCTAACCTTGAGGCATATCTCTTCTAAACAAAATCATCACAGACACACTCCTGTATGGCACTAGACTTAACACATCCCGTGGCTAGTTTCAGGTAATGCAAATTGATTTAGAGAGTTTCATCACACAGAGTTTTCACTGAAGACCGTAACCACCACTGACAACACGCTTGCCTGTACCTGTGCATTCAGGTGGCATCTTGTTCTCTCGGGCAACTAAAAGTTAACATATTGGGTCAAACCTCATGCAGTTGTCATTTGCAGATAAGAACCGGTTAAACCGTGTCAACTTCATGTGGTTGTATATACTTGTACTTTGCAAATTATTTTGTATTTTTCACCTTTCCTCGGATGCTGAACTTCCTGCTTCTCCTGCTAAGGATAGCCTTTGTTACTGCATGAGACTGTTTGCCTTGGCTTTCACATGGGGTTGAATCTAGTCAGGAGGGTGCCCATGAAATGTTTATTTATTATTTTGGAGTCAGTAGAGGGAGCCTGGAGCCAAAAGATTATTATTGCAGACATACAATCGTGACTATCCTCCAGTTTCTGTTGTGTGGATGAATTCAGACACTGGTGCGTGAGTAAAACAGCAATGATTTTAAAGTCGATTAGCTTAAGTAATCTCTTCTTAAGAGACCAGAAAGAGACTGGCTACCTCTACAGCGTTAGCAGTGAGACCATGCTGAATCCCTTTGTTTTGTTTCTGACTCTCCTCAGTAATTCCAGCGCTAACACACTGCTGAGGTCTGTTGTGCTCACACTTTCTCCTTTTTCAGAGCCCAATGTAGGGTACCGTTCCGTTTCTGTGGACATACTGTCACTCGGTCAGAGCGTTAAAACCTGCCACCACTTCCAACTCTGTGTCTGGATGCGGTGTAGTCAGTTGTCCCCCGACCCCCTGACACACAGGGGAGCTCGGTCAGCCCACAGAAAGCTCACAGCCCCTGGAACACAGGTCAGTAGCACACCTAGGGATTGTCTTTAATGTTAAAGATGCCTCCTGGCCACACCGCACTTGTGTATATCTTTTCCTTGCTGGAGACTTTCCTCAGCCGAGGCAGTGGCTGCTCCTCACGCGTGACCTGGCTTCGTCCTTTACCCTTCTAGGAAGACAGTCCTCCTGTGCTACTTGATAGTTCTGTTTTTAAAAATCACGTTTCTCTATTTACTATGTGCCTACACGCCTACACTCGTGGGAGCGAGTGTGCTACGGTGCACGTGTGGGGGTTGTGTCGTAATCGATTATTTGCTTCCGTGCAGTTTCCAGGGATTGAGCTCAGGCCGTTAAGCTTGGCCAAGCTTTACCCACTGAGTTGTGTCTCTGAACATTTAGTTTGTATTTCTGTTTAATAGTGCCCTAGGCTGGGCGGCGGCCCACAGCTTTTAATCCCAGCACTCAGGAGGCAAAGGCATTGGGATCCCTGAGTTTGAAGCTAGCCTGGTCTATAGAGTGAGTTCCAGGACAGCCAGGGCTACACAGAGAAACCCTGTCTTGGGTGGGGGGGATAGTTCTCTAGAGCATATTACAAACAGCAACTTTCCTGCAGTTGCCTTTTAAGCCATCCTGTCTGAACAGCATTTTCCCAGCTCATTCCCTGAGGAGATTCCGGTCTCTCACATTTTCAGCCCTCTAATCCGTCA